TCTGCCCCCCCCCTTTGCAATCGTGATGTCCACGCCAATTCTCAAAAATAAAAGTATTGTAAAATTAAAACCATTTAAAAAATGCTGCTCCCAAGCCTGCTTCCTTCTATTTCCTCTTGTAGTTCAGGTTCCCTGCCACGAACTGAAAATCAGATGAGCACAGATTGGCCTTGAATCAGTTCCCAGTGGCCCAAAATAAACCACATTGCATTTTTCTTTATCATCACATGCGTTTCATAACCAAATGGAACAAGTCAATGATTGGTCACCACCCAGTTTGAGAACCCAACTCTGCCACTCTCTCCACAATGACAGTGGCCTGGGAACAGAGCCAGGCACGCAGGGCTCTGCCATGGAGTCTCAGAAGACTGACCTGCTTGGGAGCCATGGGCAGGGATGGAAGCCACCTCGTGTGTGTGTGTGTGTGTGTGTGTGTGTGTGTGTGTGTGTGTGTGTGTGTGTGAGACGGCTCAGACCTTGCGCTTGGACTTCTGCTCTGTTGTGCAAATGATGGATTTGGGCCAACTTGGTGTGGAAGGCACTCAGCTTGGGTTTTTTTTTTTTTATTGTGAGAATACTGTACAGAGGGGGTTACAATTACACAGGCAAGATAATGAGTACATTTCTTATCAAGCATTGTTGCCTCCTCGTTTTTTCCCCATCAGCTTGGGTTCTGTGAGGGCCCGCGGATCTCTCTCCTGTTCAGAGGCACTGGTGCCGCCTTTGGTGACCTGCCTCACATGCGCAAATGTAGCTCCACCAGAAAAGAAAATTATTTGGAAAGCCACGTCCTGGCTCCACAGTGCTCTCTCTTTGAGGCTATAAAGAGACAGGACTTATTCGTCAATTACACCCTGGTGAAGGTGACCGGGACCAGAGCGATCAGTGCTGAGACCACCATGCAGATCGGGAATGGTGCAGACTTTTCACACTGCCCCACTGTTCCCCCTGCAGTGCTATACGGGTCATGGTTTGATCATGTCTGAGGCTGGATGTCCATGAGGGAAAAGGAGAACATGCTGGTCCTCAGTTATGAGCAGATGAAAAAGGTAATGATTGATTTTACATGCACCCCACCACAGGCCTCTTCACTCCTTCTGCCATCTCCCCTGTTTCTCCAATATCTTCTGGGTGTGTGTGTGTGTGTGTGTGTGCGTGCGTACGGGCGCGTGACAGTATGGAGGCTTGAACTCACGGCCTGGGTACTGTCCATGAGCTTTTTTGCTCACAGCTACTGCTGTATCACTTGATCCACAGCTCCAGTTCCAATGTGATGTTTGTTTGGTGGAGTCTCTCAGACTTTTCTCCCCAAGTTGCTTTTGAACTATGATCCTTAGAACTCAGCCTCCTGAGTAACCAGTGTGACAGGTGTAAGCCACCCTTGCCTGGCTTATTTCTTCATTTTTTATTTTAGTTTAGTTTTTGGTCGGTCATTGGGATTGAACTGCAGGCCTGGGCTTGTTTTGTTTCAGGCTGGGCTCTACCACTTTGAGCCACAGTGCCTCTTCCAGTTTTCAGGTGACTTGGAGTTAAGAGTCTCAGAAGCTTTCATGCCCAGGCTGGCTTTGAACTCTGACCCTCAGATCTCACTTACCTTTGCCTTGGAAGTGAAGAAAGACTTGGGGAAGACATGCATGGGGAGGTGGAAGGAGAGGACGAGGGGGCCCCTCCTTCCTGTCCTTAATGATTTTGGATCCATGTTCAGTCTTCATCCACGGAGAGTGATCCCAGATGAGCTCAGACTGGATCTACTCGGGATCCCCCTTGCTGTGAATGAGACACAGGATCTCAACCACCCAGTTGGTTCATGGAGACAGAAGATAATGGGACTGACACTCATTTCTATCTGAATTGCATACAAATCTTGATGGTAAAATATATATAACATAAACCTTACCAATATAAACTTTGCCTAGCATACAATCTTTGGTCACACATGGCCAGAAGGTATGTGTGTGTATGTGTGTGTGCATGCGCGCGCGCGTGTGATTCCGAGAGCTTGATATCCAAGCCTGGGGCTATCCCTGAGTTTTTCTGCTCAAGGTTGGTGTTCTACCACTTGAGTCACAGCTCTATCTCCTGCTTTTTGGTTGTTGATTGCCAAGTCTGTCTTCGAACTGCAATCCTCAGATCTCAGACTCCTGAGCATGAGCCACAGAGTCTGGCTCACCACAGTACCTTAACATCTTATAAACCTATGCCATCCACATGTGCATAGTTGGCCCTGTCTCCTGTCCAGGCCCCCACAGCTCTCCTATCTCTTCTAGGTTGTGGCGGCTGTGGGCTTTGCACATGGTACAAATCACACACCATCTGTCTTCTCACGATGGCCTGCCCTTGTGTGCTTCCAGTTGAATTGGTAATCAGCGTCACTCTCCATTTATTCCCAGAGCCTATTGGGGTTAAGCAGCGAGTCTCTGTGGATATTTGGGATGGATCCACCCCGTGGCTGTTCCTGAAATCCCTGCACTGCTCTTGGCCCCTGATTCTCAGCGCATTTCCTTGCAGTGTGTGCTCTGTGCTGGCTCTGCCCCATCCTGGTGCTCCTCCCCTGGTGGCCCTCATGAGGGCCTGTTCTGCTACTGCCTTGTATTTGCTGGACGTTTCCAGTTCCCAACTACTGCTTAAAGAGAATTTTTTTTTCTTTTTTTTGCCAGTCCTGGGGCTTGCTCTACACACTTTCCAAAAACTAATGTACTTATTACTTGACTTCTGTAAAACATCTTAATTATAACAAATATAATTATATGAAGAGAAAATATGTGCTGGAGATATGGCTCAAGTGGTAGATTGCTAGCTGAATAGGCAAGCCAAGAAAGTAGAGGGCCCTGAGTTCAAATCCCAGTACTGCCTCCCACAGAAATAAAGTTACTCCTTCAATGTTTATCATGTACTAAATAAAAAAGCATTTGACTTTATTTGAAAGGTGTCCATGAGTGCTAGATATAGAACTTTAAAAATATTGAGAAAACTAAAATACCAGAATAAAAAACTTTTCCACATATGTAGGGACAGAGAAAGCCAGCATGTCTTCGTATGCCAGCTTCCAATGTAGCTACACGATTAAACACAGCCTCAATGAAAACCACCTCGACCGAGTTGGCATGTGTACACATGCTGATAGTCTGAAACGTTTGTTCTAAAATGTATGTGGAGGGGTGACATCGATCAAGATGCCTCCTGGGAAATGAACAGCGTGGCATTGGAACCCTTTGGTACAGCTGCTGTGGGGTTTGAACTCAGGGTGAAGGTGCCATCCCTGAACTCTTCTGCTCAAGGCTTGCTCTCTACCATTTTGAGCCCCACCACTACCTCTTATTTTCTGGAGGTTAGTGGGAGATTGGAGTCCCACAGCCTTTCATGCCTAGGCTGGTTTGGAACTGTGATCTTCAGATCTCAACCATTTGCAGCTGTGAGTCACCTCGTCAAATTTGAAAGATCATTTATAAAAAAAACCCTAAATAAATTAATCACATGGAAACCAAATTTTAAATTTAAAAAGGAAAAAGTGACATGAAAATAAGTCATTTCTGCCCAACTAAGGATATAGTTACTAAACTAGAAAGACAGCCAACCAACTGGGAAAAGATCTTTTCCAGGAATACATCAGGGAAAGTCCTAATAGCCAATAATATACAAGGAGCTCAAGGAAATTAAGGAGAAACTACTCAGAAGAAGAGGTAAGAAGAGTAAAGAAGCACATGCGGAAATGCTCAGCATCCCTGTCCTGAAAGAACATATGAATCAAAATGATCCTGAGATGCCATCTCATGCCAGTTAGACTGGCCAACATTTTGAATTCTAACAACAACTAATGTAGGCAGGGATATGGGGGAAAGAAACCCTCCGGCACTGCCGGTGGGAATGTAAAGTAGTACAACCACTCTGGAGAGCAGTCTGGAGATTCCTCAAAAACTAAACATAGATCTTCCTTATGACCCAGCCATACCACTCCCAGGCAGGTACCCTGAGCATCATAAGCCAGGATATGACAAGGACACCTGCACATCCATGGTCATCACCGCACTTTTCACAATAGCCAAGAGAGAGAAACAGCCCAGATGCCCCACATAGATGCGTAGCTATGTGCAATGCAATTTTACCCAGCCGTTAGAAAGAATAAAATTATGTAACTTGCAGGGAAATGGATGGGACCACAACAAATCATGTTGAGTGAGGGAAGCCAAGATCAGAGAGACAAATGACACATGATCTCCATGGTATGCAGAAGTTAGATCGAAAACATCAGGAATATGTCAGTTTGCACAGCATTCTAGATACTCCTGTACATTGAGATCAAAAGAGCTGTAGGAGAGAATCACAAAGCCCCTCTTCGTATGAATATAAAATGATATGCATGCTGAAATGAACCCTAAAGATATGGGAACAAAGGACTTTTTTTAAAATGTGGTTTGTCTTTTTGTGATGGCTCTCTATTCTTTACCTTATGTATTCACGCACACATCTATTCAATGGTAGGGAAAGGGTAGAGAGAACCAGAGCACAAATGATGAAAAAGTACAGTCGTGAAGTGCACTGGACACTATGAAAGTGAGCTGTGCAACTCACGAGTGGACAGGGGAGGGAGGGAATGGGAGAGAACGAGGGAACAGAAGATGCTGTGTGAAAGGAAATGTACTTATTACCTGATGTAGGTAAGTGTAACCCGGCTGTACATCACCTCTCTAACAATAAAGTAAATTAGAAAAAAATAAGGGGGAAAAACTAGAAGTGATTCTTCTAGGAGATCAGCAGCCTTCCTCCTCTGTCACTCAACCCCCAGCCCCAGACAGTCACAGATACCTAATTCTGACATAGGCCCAACTCTACTGCATTTCTCCAACACCTTCACTGACACACCACACACACAGGAATCCCTGTGAAGTGGGCTGGTGAGAGATCCTCTTCTCGGAAGGGAAAGAAACAAATGAGATACTATACCGTCCCCGCATGGGAGGCTGGGGGGAGTAGGGCATGTAGCTGCAGCCCTGTCTGCTCACCTGATTTGGGGTAGGTTACCGTGATGATGTCCTCATCCTTCAGCACCAGCTTCTCATGGGCTGCTTTTATGATTTCAGGGTTGTAACCCATGGCAGGGAAAGGAATGCCCTGGTACCATAAATAGTCGTGAGCCATGGAGGAGCCCTGTGTGCCTGGCTCTTGGTCACAGGTCACTGGTACTGCCACCGGGGAGGAGGTGGCCGAGTCTGGTTTTTTCATTCTGGGTGGTGAAGGCCATCTTTAACGTTTTTCATTTCATTTGGAAACAAATTTGATGATAAAAAAAATGCAATGCGAATGTCATGGAGTATTTTTATTGGGCAACTGTGAACTCCTTCAAGGGCGATCTGTGCTCATCAGATTGTCAGTTCTTGGCAGGGAACCTGAACTACAAGAGGAAATAGAAGGAAGCAGGCTTGAGAGCAAGGTTATTTTTAATTTGGAAATTTACAAATACCTAATTTTGGAGATAGGTGTAGATATCTCAAAAATGGTCAAGAGTGAGGTCTGGACTTCTGGCTCAAGGTCCTAGGATCATTCTACTCATATCACACAAAAGCTAAGGGCAAGAGCACTCAAGGCATTTTTTCTTTTTTCTTTTTGTCGGAAATGGGGCTTGAACTCTGAGCCTAGGCACTATCCCTCAGGTCTTCAGCTCAAGGCTCACGTCTACCACTTGAGCCACAGTGCCACTTCCGGTTTTCTGGTGGTTTATTAGAGATAAGAATCTGGACTTAGCTCAATGGAAAGAGCTCCAGAGGAAGTCCTGCCACCTTCTCCCAGAGTATTTTCTCCAAGGATTTGTTCTGGGCTGTGGTGAAGTGGTTCTTCCATTTCCTGGCAATGCCTGGCGGCTGGAGAGAAATGCTGAGATCAGATGAGGCCCAGCGCACCAAGGACCCAGCCCCACCTGACTCCCCATCTTGGTACTTCCACAGCCACTGGGTCTCAGAGGTAAGAATTGCTGAGAAATGTGTGTGGGTGTGTGGGTGTGTGTGGGTGTGTGTGTGCGTGCACGGGTGCATTCACCAGTAGTGAGCCTGAACATTGGGACTGAGCTTTTATGCTGAAGGCTACCATCAAATTAGAGGTAAGAGGCTCACATTCTTTTCCTGCCTGTCCTGGCTTTGAAGGTGATCCTTTAGATCTCAGTTTCCTGAGTAGCTGGTATTACGGGGTGAGTTCTTAGCCAGCCAAGAACTTTACTAGAATCTCAGTGAATTCAATGGTGGATTTGGTATTGTTCAGGCCTCAAATCACTGAGGACTATCTTTTGAGAGAGGAGACAAAACTGAAGACAGAAAACCATGGCTCTGGAATCAGGGATATGCATTAGGACAGGCAATGAAGAAACAGGAAAACGCAAAGAAATAAAAGTGGAACACACACACACACACACACACACACACACACACACACACAAACCACTGGGCCACTATGAAAATACCAAATCTAAGAAACACAGGCCTAGCAGAAAGAGGATTTCAGTGTAACCCTGAAACCTAAAATTTCATGAAGGGAAATCTCTGGATAATAGAGACATAGGTAATAATTTTCTGCCTAGGGCTATCAAGCCTCTGCCAATGAGAAATGGAACAAATGAATGAGTGTGCCTGCATAAAATTGAAAAAAAAAAGTTTCTGCCCTCCAAAAACTCAAAGCAAACAACAACAAGAAGAAAGCAAAACCAGTTTGAGGAGTAATTTTACAATTCTTTTAGTTTGAGAATTGGAGTTGACATCATGATTGCAAAGGGGGTAGACTGGACTTCTGACTCAAGGCCCGAAGACCAGTCTCCTAATATCACCCAAAAATCATTGCCCACAGCACGCAATGCGGTTTTCTTCCAATGTCCTCCGTTGACCCCAGGATCTCTCTCCACTCTAGGATCTCAGCCATGACCCTGGTATTATGGATCTCCATAGCTTCTCAGGCTCCTGGTGGCAGAGAGAGATTCTCAGACTTCCTTTCTTTGTCCTAGCCTGGCCAAGTTTGTGAAGCAACAAACACCTAAAGAAACATCAGTGGAATGATGTATGTGTCTGTACAAGCGCGTGCGCGTGAATGCTAACTCATTGAAGATAACAGGCTCACAGACTTTCCTGACTGGTTGGCTTTGACCCTGGGTCCTCATTTCTCAGCCTTCTGAGAAACATAGGTAACCATTGGTGCCTGGCTTTGAAAGATTTCCGAATAGCTTCGATGATATAAATGCAAGGATGACACCATGGAGATTTGTATCGAGCAAGGAATCAAATGTACAGCGTGAACATTCTAACCATCAGAATCAAGTGACAGCTCTGTGCCCTGACCCCAAGGAGACACAAATCTTCTTCTCCACAGACACAGGGAGAAGTCTGGATTTAGTCCCATAGGAACAGCTCCGCAGGAAGTCCCGCCATCTTCTCCTGGAATATTTTCTCAAAGGCTTCAGCCTGGGCTACAGTGAAGTGGTTCTTCCAGTCCCCTGTTATGCCTGGAAGCCAGGGAGAAATGCTGCAGTCAGAGGGGGCCAGAACACAGAGGGCCCAGCCTAAGGCTCCCTCCCTGTCCCATCCCTGCTGTGCAACTGTGGAGGACCCTGGAGCTCAGAGGGGAGAATTGTCAAGAACTGTGTGTGTGTGTGTGTGTGTGTGTGTGTGTGTGTGTGTGTGTGTGTGTGAGAGAGAGAGAGATACTCATGCCTGTTTGCCTGTGCCTGCATGAGTGCACATGTGTGTACACATGTGGGTGTGTAAGGGTGTGTGCCTACTCATGTGTGGCGTGCACATGAGTGTCAGTGTGTGGTGTTGTTGTAGTGTTCCCATACATTTGTGTGTGTGTGCACACATGCCCACATGCCCACGTGTACAGGTGCAGGTGGGTGTGCCATTCCTGGGCCTGGGGGCTATCTCTGAGCTTTGTTCCTCAAGGCTGGTACTCTGCCATTTGTGCCACAGCTCCACTTCTGGATTTTTGCTGGTGAATTGCAGATAAGAGTCTCATAGAATTTTCCTGCCTCTGGGGCTTTGGACCATGATCCTCAGATCCAACTCCCTGAGTAGCTGGGATTGCAGGCGTGAGCCATCAACACCAGGCCAAGCAAGAACTTCACCAGAATGTCAGTGAATTCAATGATGGATTTGGTGTTGTCCAGCCCTAAAAACAATGAGGAAAATGCCTCCATAGAGAGAACCAAACAAGACAGAACACGGAGAGGAGGGGGCGGGAACATGCTGGGAATGAGGCTTAGTGGTAGAGGATTGCCTAGCATGCACAAAGCCAGGGGCTTGATTCCTCAGTACCACATACACAGAAAAAGCCGGAAGTGGCTGTGGCTCAAGTGGTAGAGTGCTAGCCTTGAGAAGAAAAAAAGGAGAAAAAGAAGCTGAGGGACAGTGCTCAGGCCATGAGTTCAAGCCCCTGGACTGGCAAAAAAGAAAGAAAGAAAGAAAGAAAGGAAGAAAGAAAGAAAGAAGTAAGAAAGGAAGGAAGGAAGAAAGAAAGGAAGGAAGAAAGAAGGAAAGGAAAAAAGAAAGAAAGGAAGGAAGAAAGAGAAAAGAAAGAAAAGAAAAGGAAAAGAACACCAGAATTCTGAGATCAGGGAGATGCATTAGAACAGGCAATGGCCAAACAGGAAAACAGAAGTGCAAATGGAGCACAATAAAGCTAAACAAAAACACAGGCAAGAGTGAAGACACCAAAGTTAAGAAACACAGGCCTAGCAGAAACAGAGGGTTTCAATGTAGTAATGGAATTTAAAAAAAGCTATTCTGATATGAAGAAATAAAATTACTAATAAATACATAAAGCCCACTGGGTCCTGGTGGCTTACACCTGTTATCCTGGCATCTCAAAAGGTTGAGATTGGAGGGTCAGGTTTGAAGGGAAGACTGTGAGATTCTATCTCCAAGGAACCATGCAAAAGCCAGAAATGGAGTATGGCTCAAGTGCCATAGCACCAGCCTTCAAAATTAAAAAAAAAAAAATTAAACACTACCCAAGCACTGATTTCAAGCCCTAGGACTAACACACAATAAAAAAAACATACTATAAAACCATACTCATGAAACAATAATGTGTCAAGAATTCCCTTCCTGATCTCTGACAGATGTTTAAGCCACAGTGAGCGATTCCATACCTTTCCTGGTAATTAAGAATCCAGGAGAAAAGTAATCCCCACTCAGCAGGCTGAAATTGGACATCATGTTTTCCTTCATGGCCTGGAAGGAGCTGTTCTCCAAGACCAACTCCAGCTCTTCGGGGTTCAACTTCTTCCCCAGGAACTGACAGATCTTCTCCACAGTGCTCCTCGTGTCCTGCAAGAAGGAAAAGCAGGACAAGGAGAACACAGAGCGGCTCTCAGAACGAGGGAGCTTTGGAGGGAGGACAAGAAGAGACAGACAGCCAAGCTCCAAGACAGACTCCTGTGTCAGAGGTTGAGCTGGGAGCAGGGATGTAGGGAGCCGTTGGTACAGCTCAACAGGAAAGGTCATCTGAACCCTTGTGCTTGCTCTAAGTCACATACAAAGAACTGGCTTACTTAAAAATCACTAGGTGTCCTGGATTGTTTTAGGATATCTGTAGAGTCTGTTTTATATTTAACCAGTTTACCTTTTCATGTTAATTTGCACTCTGTTTTTACTAAGCCTAAACTTTACTTGTTTTTCTGAACTATAGTAACCTTATGCTACTTCTTGACTTCTAACTGTATATATAGGAGGAAACTAAAAATCTGCAAACCTCCCAACCCCATCTTTTGTCTTGTGTCTTTTTTTTTCTCATCCTCGACCCGTAAGTCAGGATTCCCTTTCGATGCAGGCAGGCTCTGGAACAGGGAGGGAGGGAGGGATGAGAGCAGGATAGGAAGGAGGACTGGAAGGATTTGATCCAAGCACAACCAGAGAACAGAGGCTGGAGATGTCCCAGACCTAGAGCAAGGCATTTGGACAGTGATCAAGTGATAATTTGACAGTTATCCACAGGAAGATCAATACACCAGGTACTACAGTGAACCACAGCTGATTTCTGAACAACACAGATTTTGTTAATGGCTGTGTGTGAGAGAGAGTTGTGTGTGTCTGTTGTATGGTTGAACTCAGTGTGTTCATACTATCTTGAGCCTTTGTGCTCAAGGTTAGCTCTAACACTTGAGCCACAGCTCCACTCTGGCTCTTTGGTGGTTCATTGGAAATAAGAGTCTCATGGACTTTCCTGCCCAGCCTGGCTTTGAACTGTAATCCACAGATCCCATCTTCCTGAGTAG